CCTACGACCGTTTTTCACACTTGTGACCGTTGCACCAACCCCATGGTCACATGGCCAGATTTTAGACGCTTGGTAACTGACTCACATTTATGACGGGTTCCAGTGTCCCGGGATTATGTGATCCCCTTTTGCGACCTTCTGACAAGCCAAGTCAATGGGGAAGAATCACTTAACAACTCTGTTATTAACCGTCATAACAATTGCAGAGATTCACTTAACAACTTCACTGGTGGCAAGGAAGGTTGAAAAATGGGGCAAATTCACTTAACAGCTGCCTTACTTAGCAACAGAAATTTTGGGCTCAATTGTGGTGGTAAGTCAAGGACTACCTGTATGAAAGTTCATTTAAATGTACCTGAATTCATGAGATAAAATGGTGGCGAATTTTCTCTCTTCTATAAAGAGCGGATTGAAGCGGATAATTATAATGAGTGATATAAAGAAATGAATTTAAGTTACCGATTTCCTAAACTAAGGAACATTCCATTTTTGCCAGAATGGATTTTCCTTTTCCTGAAGAATGCGGTGCCAAGCACCTCTTCCTCTTTTCCTAGGGCATCCTCTATGTGGGCTATTCCGAAGGGATTTTAGAAGTCCTGGTGGCCAACTGCAGTGTGTATGCCACCTGTGCCAGCTGCCTCTTGGCACGCGATCCGTACTGTGCCTGGGACGGCCACTTGTGTCGAGCAGTTTGGGAGGACACCAGAAACAGGTGAGCAAGGGCGGGAGGGAAGCACCACCTACGAGAGAGCAGAAGAGGTGTGTGTGTGTGTCCATGGAGACACGGAGTCTCCAACCATGGCAAGCTTACGACTTGTGGACTTCAACTCCCAGAATTCCTCAGCCAGCATGGTTGGAGATCCCTATTCTACAGGATTCCCAAGGTTTGTGTTGATTTGGATCCACTAGATTCCCCTGACCTTGAACCAACTGGGCAGTGGAGATCATTACTGGAGAATGTCCCTTTTTAAGTGGGATTTTGCATTCTTTATTTTATATGTTTACCTAATTTAGCAACCGCCCATCTGCCTGGTAGAGAGACTCTGGCTGGGGTTCAGATGCAGGCTGGCTGCTGAGGGCCCAAAAGACAATCGTGCAACCAGCCTGCATATAGTGTCACGTGACCGCAATTTATAATGCTCCCCCCCCCCCAAGAAACTAGCATTTATTTCCGGTTTCAGGCAAAAAAAACCCCAGACAATGAACTCCACAAAAAGTCAAAAAATTGTGTGTAATCATGTGGTGACCTGCTTAATGGCTGTAATTGTGGGCTCAGTTACAGTTGTAAGTGGAGGACTTGCCTCTGGAGGTTGTGGATGCTCCACTGCGGGAGTTTTCCAAAAAGAGACTGGACAACCATTTGTCTGAAATGATATAGGGTTTCCTGCTTGAGCGTGGGGTTGGACTAGATGCCCTCCACAGTCCCTTCCATTCTGTATTCAATATTCTATCCTATATGTACTTTGTGGGGATAACAGACAATTGTGTGGGCGCAATCTGAAAATGGCTTGGAGGTGATCTCCGTGCCAGGATATGGGGCAAGCTATAGGGCAGGTTGTCCATTGAGAGGCTCGCTGTGTGACTGCCCAAGTGTTGCTTGCTCACACTTAGCGGTTGTGCGGAGACGGCCTTGCTATGACTCAGAAGTTCCTTTCTTCCTTTCCCTTCCCTTCCCGTTCCTTCTTTTCTTCTTTCCTTCTAGGACTGACTGGCTGCAGGACGTTGAGCAGGGGAAGGCTGAGGCCGTGTGCCAGCGCCACAGCGGGAAGGGGCGAGCCATGCCAAGGTCGAGGAACGACTCTGATGGAATCTCACTGAAAGGTGGAGTACCGTCAGCAGCAGCAGCTGAGGAATGGCCTTCAGCTCAGGCGGGTCCAATCGGCCTTCTGCATCAAGGCTGCCCCGGAGGCTGCCACCTCCCTTGGGTGTGCCAGGGCCTCGTGGGAGGGAGGTTGGGCCAGGGAGGAGGGTTTGGCCCCAAGGTCAGAGTGGCCCTTGTTCTCTTTTACCCTCAAAAGGGAAGGGTGTGTCTGACTCTCTTTGTGCAAGTTGGCTTTGAGGGTCAATCTCGCAGGCCTTAAGAGCCACAAAGCGTTTTTTAAAGTTGAAAGCTTTCACACCACCCCCTGGAAGGGGTCCATGGGGCAAGGAGCTGTTTTTGTCCCTCGGGAGCAGAATTACACCTTCCTTCTTGCTTTCCTTCCTTGCAGTGCTGACCGGCCCGTTCAACTCCCTGCTGCGGCTGCCCTGCCCGCAGGTCTCTGCCCTGGCCAACTACTCCTGGACTTACCCGGAGGGCATCTTCCCATCACAGGAGGGGCTGGCCGTCCGAGACCACACTGGCCTGCTTGTGTTTGTGCACAGCCGCACGTTGGGCGAATACACGTGCTGGGCCAGCGAGAACGGCTACCAGCACCGGGTGGCCTGGTACGACCTGCGCAGCGACCTCCCTATGGACGGCGCCAGCGGCTCCAAGGGCAGCTCAGAGCACCAGGCAGTGCCCGTGGGGGAATGGCGCTCTTACTGGGTCCAGTTTGTGACCGTGACGGTACTGCTCTCCATGACCTTGGCGGTGGCCATGGCACTGGGCTTCTTCTCCTACCACGACAAGCTGAAGGCCAAAACCAAAGTGCAGGGGTGCAGCGTTCCCGAGTCCACCAGGACTCCGGTGCAGGAGAAGGCCCCCCTCAACGGCAGCCAGAGCCCGCCAGGAGACAGGGACTACCAGTCGCAGGATGCCACTGACGGGACCAAATCCTGCTGCGTCCAGGTGGAAGGTGGGAGCCGAGACGTGGATACAGACAACAATCGCCTGAACTGCCCCTTGATGAATGGGGAGGACGCCCGAGCCGTGGAAGCCATTTAAGTCGGTTTTGACCAGAGAATTTTGTGGACTCTCAGATGAGCACAAAACGCCTTGCACGATTGTAGTATGACTCCCAAACACGGCTAGGTTACCTCTGGGGTCCATTTTTAAACGTTGTTTGTTCTCGGTTGTGTTTTGTACGACACCACACCAACTGCAAAACTGATACTGGGGATCCGGACGGGTTTCTTTCTTTCCCACCTCCTTCGTTTCTGTCTTCTCCTGCCCATCAGCAGCAGCAGCAGCTCCACCTGCTTCCTCACAGCCCAATCTGCAAATATTTGCAGGAACCGGAGGAAAAACAAAGCTGGCGTTGGGAGTGTTTTCGTTTGAGGAGCTCCGAGGGGACGAGGGAGGGGTGGGGTGGGTGTCTTCTTAGAAAGACAGTTGGCCGCTCAGGTGGATGACTGAGCCCTCTGCCCATCTCCAGAAACTGTGATGCATTTGTTTTTCTGGAGCAGCGTTGCTCAAATTTGTCGATTTGAAGATGGGTGGTCTTCCACTCCCAGAATTCCCCAGCCAATTCTGGGAGTTGAAGTCCACCCATCTTCCGGTTGCTGAGGTTGAGAACTCGGGGGTAATTTTAGCCACTCCACGCATTGTGAGAGCCACTAGAAGTCTATGTTGACTGCAGCAAGAATAGCACATTTGTCAGTGTCTTCGCCCGGCTGCTTCAGTTTAGTCCTCCTCCATCTTGCTGCCACATTCTGCCTTTTGTTCATGGTTTTGGGGCCAAAGAAGCAGCTATGCAAGGTCCTAAGCAAGCCTCCTTGTTCACCCCCCTCCCTCCAGCTTCCCTTGCCCTAGAAGTGCCCCCTCTGGCCTCTCACGCTGCATTCACACATGACCTTGGCAGCCGCCAAATCAGAGCCTTGACGTTTCCAAGATGAAAGCTGGTTTTTCCCGAAGGCGGAGCGCTCTGCAATGTTGCTGTGTTCCACTGTCCCTCTGCAAGCCCCCCACCCGTTTTTATTCTTTTAAGAATTCAGTTTTTAAAAGGCTTCCTTTGCACCAGTTGTGCCAGTGAAGATTAGGCTTCCCTCCTGCTTGGCAATGCCGCCTCCTGCCCCCTTTTAATCTGTGCTTTGCCCAGTGCTTTAGGGGAGTGGGCACCGGGGGTGGGGGTGGTTTGATTTTTGACAGGCAGGCACACTCCTTGCTTGTTGCCTCACTGAATTCACTCGTGGAGAAGCAGAGAAGCCATTGGCCGCAAGAAAACCTGTTTTGAACCAAGGGGGCTTTAGTGGATCCATCCAGCCTCATTTACAAGGTTGCTTGCAGCCTCCCTATTTTTCTTCCGTTTCTTTTCATTGTGCAGCTTCTCCAAAATATCAGCTCGGCTGGGGAGATGACACAGTTGCATGCGACATTTTTGAGGTCATTACTCTGGGAGCTGGGATTAATCTGTGCCTAGATCAGCTTTTTTCAACCTCTGCAATTTCATAAGATGGATGGACTTCAACTCCCAGAATTCCCTAGCCAGCTGGCTGGGGAATTATGGGAGTTGAAGTCCTCTCATCTTAAAGTCACAGAGGTTGAGAAACACCAGTTTCTATTTCTAATGGTTGCAGCTGCTGCCCTCTGGTGAATAAAATGACAGTTGCACCTGAGCAGGTATTTGGTCCCTGCCCAGCACTGGAGAATTTTACTGTTTGGTCCCCACCGAGGGCACGCAGAATGTATTATTTCTAATGTTTATAATCCACACCATTGTTGTTGGTTTCACTTAAGCGTTAGTTGAATGGAAGACTCTTCAAGGTTGCAGAATGGGTGGGAGGGAAGGGGTCTGGGGAAGACCCCCTCATCCCTGAAAGCTGTTTCAGACAATATTCTGCCAAAAACCTGGGTCTGCCATTCAGTGCCATGCAAGGATGATTGCAAAAAAATACAAAACCGGTTTGTATCTTGTCTGCTTAAAGAGCTACCCTTAAAAATGTGAGGTGTGAAGAGGACCTGGGTTGCAAAAGCAAAAGGCCAGGTAGATAGGCTACCCCGGATCCTTATTAAACACTTGGTGTATGCATGCGTGTGTGTGTGTGTGTGTTTCTCCTGTCTCGGTGTGCAAGAGAGTGGTGTGTTTAATTGTGGTATTGGAGCAGCATGTCTCTTCTGAAGAATAAAGTCGGTACTCAGATTCAGTTAAAGAAATTATCTGTATTATCACCGGCCCGTTTGCCACCCATTTTGAGGAGAAAGAAGGAAAAATGGAAGGAAAGGGACTTTTAAAAAGGGGTCAGATTGTACAGAGAAGGGAAGGGGCAGCAAGCTTCTCCTTTACCCCAATCTGCCAAGGGCGGGCAGCCTGAGAACAGTTACGAAACTGAGAAGGGAGTCATCTGGTGGCAGAGAGATGTTGCATTTCAACCGGCAGATGTAAAACTAAAAAAATGTTTAAAACTAGAAGGTGGCTGGTTCTTCTGCCTCTCAAATGTTTGGGTGCAAGAAGTTGGAAGATATCTCGCTGGCCCTTTCTCGGCTGGAGAAGGAAAAAGATGTTGCAAGGAGCTGAAAATAGTTTGCTTGGATATTTGACGTACAAACACCTCTGTGTCTCTCTTTGTCGGAGAAGGACGGAGAGCAGTTGCACTGTGGCCGAGCTCCTTGGTCAAAGTATCTGCAGGGTTTTTAAAAAGTGCCCATTTTCAGCTCAATTCCATAGAAAGAAGGGCATTCATTCATTCATTCATGACTGGCTGTTTGTTGCAATGTTGTTCCTAACTTTGTTTTTTTCTTTTCCTAAAAGAAAAAAAAAGATGTAAATCATTGTGTTTATACAAACTATTTTTATTAAAAAGTGTTTGTGCGGTTGTCCAATGGCTACTTGTGGCATGATGGTCTCTGAAGCGCAAGTACTTTGGCGCTCAGCTGGCACAAGATGCTCTCCGCAAGGCGACTAGAAGAGATTTTCCTGCGGAATTGCCAATCAGAACCAGGATGGCCTCCCAAGATGGTGCTTCATAGTGGGATGGGGAGAAAATTCATTTCTTATTTATTAAATCTATTTACTGCTCACCTCACTGTTACAGCAACTGGGCAGTTTACAGTGTGATGAGAAGATAATACAAAACAATTAAAAATTAAGAAAGACTAAGAAGCTAGAAATTGGCCACAAATCACCCTAATGTATGTTTGTGCACAGCAAGCCCTGACCCTGGAACTCAGTGGGCGGGGCTTCTGCAATTGAGAGAGGGGCGTTTTACAGGCTTTAGGCACCAACATTCTCTCTGTGTGGTCTCCTTTTCTTTCTTGCCCAAGCAGTAGGGAAGGATGTTGATTTCTTAGAAGGATGCTAGTTATCCAGTCCTGCCATGAAATATTTTTCCATTTACAGGCAGTAAAAGAACTTACAACAACTGAGGCCAAAACGTCTATTGCTAAGTGAGACAGTTTTACAGCCTTTCTTGCCACCGTTAAGTGGCAACTTAACTGCACTTAAGTTACTAATATGGTTGTTAAATGAATCCGGTTTCCCCATTGACATTGCTTGTTAGAAGGTTGCAAAAGGGGATCACGTGACCCCAGGACACTGCAACCGTCATAAATATGAGTCAGTTGCTAAGCATCTTCAGTTTTGATCATGTGACTGTAGGAATGCCATAACAGTCGTAAATGTGAAAAATGGCCATCACTCACTTTTTTTAGTGGTGTAACTTCAAATGGTCATTAAACGAATGGTTGTTAAGTCAAGGACTACCTGTACTTCTATCACACTTTTTGCTGAACTGAAAACAACTCGTCTCCTGTTTTCCCCTCAACCTCTTAAGCAGGTGAGCTGGGCTGAAAAATGCTGGCCGAGGCACCCAGCTGGCTTCCTTGCCTTTGGACAGCCACTTAGCAGAAAATCAAGGTTTTCCCACCTTTCCTGTTATGTTGGGGGGAGGATTTACTTGGGGCTGGATTATTTCACGGGTGTCCCTTGGCCGGGCCTGCCAGTGGGCTGTGGTGTGCGCGTGTGCAGTGTCCCCACTGCCTCTGCAGCGGCCATGTTTCTCCAGGGCAAAGAGTTGGGTAACCTGGTCCTGTTAAAATGTAGATCGTATCAGAATGGAGCAGGAAGGGACCATGAGGGTCTTCTAGTCCAGCCCCCTGCTCAAGCAGGAGACCCTCTGCCACTTCAGACAAGTGGCTGTCCAGACTCTTCTTAGGAACCTCCAGTGATGAAGCACCCACAATTTCTGGTGGCAAGCAGTTCCATTGGTCAATTGTCCTCTTTTGTTAGGAAGTTTCTCCTTAATTCCAGGTTGCTTCTGTCCTTGGTTAGTTTCCATCCGTTGTTCCTTGTCTGGCCTTCAGGTGCTTTGGAGAATAGCTGGGCCCCCTTCCTCCTCTCTGCGGCGGCCCCTCAAATACTGGGGAACTGCTCTCATGGCTCTCCTGGTCCTTCTCTTCTCTAGACCAGCCGGGCCCAAATCCTGCAGCTGTTTTTCGTACCTCTTGGTCTCCAGGCCTTCGAGCCTCTTAGTTGCTCTTCTCTAAACTTTCCCCAAAGTCTCGACCGCCTCTTTGTAACGTGGGGACCGAAAGCGGCTGCAGGATGTCCAGGCGGGGCCTTCAGAAAGCGGCCCTGGTCCTCCACCCGCTTCTCTTTGGATGAGCACGGAATATGGAAACGAGGTGAAGTATTAACAGCGCTTTATAACACACACACAGACCGGGGAGACTTCCAAGCCCATATTGCTGGCGGGGCTGATGGGAGCGGTAGTCCGGCGAGAGGAGCAAGAACCTCCTTCGCTGCCGGCCCGTTTCCCGCCGGCCTCCAGTGACGCCACACGCGCGCCGGAAGCGCCGCTCTCCTTCCGCCGGCCATCTTTGTCCAGGGCAGCCGAGCAGGAAGCCGGGCGGGAGCGCGGTTGCCCCGCTCTAAAGTGGCGGCGGCGGCGGCGAGGAGGAAGGAGAGGAGGGCGGTGGTGGCGGCGGCGGCTGTCGAGGCCCCGCAGGGCGTGCTGAGCCGGAGCTCTGGCCGGCCTGGAAAGAGAGCGCGGCCGCCGGGAAGGTGAGTGGCCGTGGCCGCCAAGGCGGGGAGGGCGGAGGGGGGGTCGCTCTGCGGAGGGGGCGGGGGGAGTCCCGAGACCCTCAACACGGAGGGCGACGCGTGTCTCCGCTGTCACGTGGGAACCCCCCGCATGGCCGGTTGGAGCTGCGCTTCCTCCGCGGGAATCGCCCGCCTTGCGCCGCCCCTTTGCCGTGGGGGGGAGGGGGAGGGGGAGGGGGGCCCAAAGCCTCGGAGGGGCCCCGGACGGAGCCCGGAAGCGGCTGCGGCTCCTTCGGCCTCTGTCGGTGCGGTGCGGAGCGGAGCGGGCTCTCCCTGCCTGCCGTGGCTCCTCGGCCAAAGAAGCGCCTCCCTGGGCGAAGGCGGAGGGGTCCTTTCCTGCACGCCCCGCCGCCCACCGCGGATACGCAGACCCCGTTTAAGCAAAGCGCCGGCGGAGGGACTTCCAACCGCAACGGAGCCCGGGATTTCTGTTGCTGGAGGAAACGGCCGTTAAGTGAACGTTGCCCCATTTTACAACCTCTCTTGCCGCAGTTGTTAAGTGAATCCCTGGCTTCCCCGTTGACTTTGCCGGTCAGGAGAGCTCAAACGGGGACCACGTGACCCCGGGACACTGCGACCGTCATAAATACGAGTCAGCTGCCAAGCGCCTGAATTTTGATCACGTGACCATGAAGCGGCTGCAACGGGCCCAGAGTCCCTCCTTTCAGTGCCATGGCAACTTTGAATGTCACTAAATGAACTGCTGTAAATCGAGTAGGTGATACCACTTGCAAATGCGCTCCCCCCTCCCCCCATAATCCACAAAAGGGAATAGGAGTGTGCTAATATAATGGTTTAAAATCTGATACTTATATAAACCAAATAGATGGCGAAAAGATTTCTCTGCTAATGTCACAAGGATGGCTCAGTATGGTTGCTGGAGGGTGTGATGGGCAGCATATTAATCCAATTTAATAATAATAAATGGAGGAGAGGAGAGTCAAACAGGCCAAAGAGAACCTCTAAGCAGTGTATGTGTTTAACATCTATATGAAGCCGCTGGGGGAGATCATCCGTGGTTTTGGGGTGGGGTATCATCAATATGCTGATGATACCCAACTTTTTATATCCACCCCGAACCAGCCCAGTGATGCCCTCGACGTGATGTCCCGATGCCTGGAGGTGGTGCAGCTCTGGATGGGGAGGAACAGGCTCCAACTCAACCCTGCCAAGACGGAGTGGCTGTGGGTACCGGCATCTCGGTTGCAAGGGAATATTCCATCTTTGGTCATAGGGGGAGAGGTGTTGCCCCCTGTGGATAGGGCACGCAACTTAGGCGTCCTCCAGGATGCACGGTTGACTTTAGAAGACCATGCATCCAGGATGCCCCCCTGACCATGTGATCAGGGTGGCATTTGCCCAGATTCGTCTGGTGCGCCAGTTGCGCCCCTACCTGGACCGAGATGCCCTACGCATGGTCACCCATGCACTCGTCACCTCCCGGATCGACTATGCAACGCTCTCTACATGGGGCTGCCCTTGAAAACCACTCGGAGGCTTCAGCTGGTGCAGAATGCGACCGCGCGGGTAGTGATGGGAGTGTCCCGATGCTCCCATGTCACACCCCTCCTGCGTGACCTGCATTGGTTACCAGTTGCCCACCGGGTGAGGTTCAAGGTGCTGGTGATTACCTATAAAGCCCTACATGGCTTAGGCCCGGGGTATTTGATGGATCACTTGCGGCCAGCAACAGCTCCCCATCACCCGGTGCGCTCACATAGAGAGGGCTTACTTGGGGTCCTGTCGGCCAAACAATGTCGGCTGACGGCCCCTAGGGAGCGAGCCTTCTCTGTGGGCGCATCTACCCTCTGGAATCAGCTCCCCTTGGAGCTCTGGGTAGCCCCCGACCTTCGCTCCTTCCACCGTGACCTTAAAACATGGCTGTTTCGCCAAGCTGGCCTGGACTGAATGGGGTTTTAATGGGAATTTTAGCTTTATTGTTGAATTTTAATTGGACTTGTTATTGTTTATTGCTGTGAGCCGCCCTGAGTCCTTGTGGAGAAAGGGCGGCATATAAGTCCGATAATAAATACATACATACATACATACATACATACTGTTTATTTGTTTGTTTATTTGTGGGTTCCTAAACTCCCGAACTTAGGTTGATGCTAAACCAAGGAGAGCCCAATCTTGGCAACTAAGACTTGTGAGCTGGGTGGGGAATTCTGGGAGTTGAAGTCCACAGTCTTAAAGTTGCCATAATTGGACACCCTGGGCTAAGCATTATACAAAAGCAAAAAGTGCAATAATAATAATATACAGAGAGAGAAATGCAATGTATAGTTTTCAATAAGAAAGTGTAAATAAATAATGCAGCACTCAGATCCCAAAGAGGAACACCTGACTTTTACAGCCTCAAGATGTGTGGGAACTCCCGTTGCCAGGGGAAACAAGCTGTTCCAGTGGGGAGGGCAGCCCCCCTCTATGAATGCTCATTTTGGGCCATTTCTCTTCCCTCTTTGTTCGTTTATTCAATTTCTATAGCTGCCATCTCGGTCATTTACTCTGGGCAGCTCTGGTTTGTCCTCTAAGACCTCTTAGTATGGTCAAGAATATTTTCAGTTCATCAGGCCTGAATTAGCCCATCAGAGTTGCCTTATCCTCCTCGTGGAGCTTGGTGGGGCCAGTCATCCCTATTGCCATGAGGAAATGATCATCCCCAGTGAGGCACTGATGGAAATGTCCCTGCAACACATCACATTTCATCTGACCCAGGGTATAAAACAGTGGATCACTTCCATGAAGATCCCTCCTCCCCCCCCCACTTAAGGGGCTTGTCCCTTTTGACCTTACAAATGCACCCAGCTGCCTGCAGAAGTATTGACTTCCAACTAAAGCACCACTTTCTTGCATGGTGGTCTGTCTCTATATATGTCTGTCTGTCTATCCATCTATCTATCTATCCATGTATATCATCTTTATCTGTTATATCTATCTGTCTCTAGCTATCTAGCTATCTATCTGTTCATCTATTTAATCTTTCAATCCAATCTAATCTCTAACCTATCAAATCTATCTAATCTTTCTATCTAATCTATCTAATCCATCCTAAATCTAAATCTAAACTAAACTAATCTAATCTATCTGATAGGACCGCCTGGGGCACTTCCTTGCATGGTGTTTGTTTGTTTGTTTCCTGTATCATTTTTACAAATAACTCTGGGCAGCAAGTGTACCCAACATACTTTCCTCCTCCTATCTCCTCCACAACAGCAGTCCCGTGAGGTGGGTTGGGCTGAGGAGGAAAGACTGGCCCAAAGTCTCCCAGCTGGATTTCATGGCTGAGGCGGGACTAGAATTCACCACCTCCCACTTTCTAGCCAGGTGCCTTCACCACTAGACCAAACGGGCTCACACTAGAACCTGCCAGAACGTGTGGACAATTAATCGAGGGTCTCTTTTCCCCTTTCTTGAACCTTCATCTTTCTCTTCTGGTCCCTTTGAGGAGGGCTTTAGTTTGGTGGGTATCTTTTGCCTTCTTGCCTTAGCCACTATATTCATTTTTTTCCCTAAACACATTTTATTTTCCTTAGGAGAATGTTGTTGCAGAGCAGAGTATTTCATGCATGCAAAATTGCCGGCATCTCTTGGGTGGAAGAGCTGATAGTGACCCATAATGTCAGATTAATTATCAAGCCTTAGGTTGACTGCGGTGAGCTTGGGAGGTGGGGGGGGGGAGATCAGGGACCAGAGGAGCCTTGCAGATGAAGAGGTTCACATCAGCCCCAACATTTCTCATGAAAGAAGCCTGAGGAGGTTCATGGAGAATTGACCCTTGACAGAGCCGGACTGGCTACCAGTTCAACCCCCTAAAAAGCTTGTATGGTGCCTGCTCTTTCGTGAGTTAAGACCCAAAAGGAGAAAGGAAAAGAAGCAGCCGAAGTTTCCTTCTCCCCCTCACAGAGCATCCCATTTGCCCTTCTGGTTGTTTTTAAGCCTTGGACGGAAATCTCTGGGTGGGAAGGACCTTGATCTGGTCAGTTGAGCAGGTGTCAGAAATACCCAGACATGGTATGAAATCCGCACAGCAAGATTCCTTTTGCAGATATCTGGAGATTTCCCTTAAAAGCCAAAATTACTCATCCTCCAGAATTTAAACATTACAAGTTATGCACAAGTGTTCCTTACGCCGTTCTCTGTTAGAGTAAGCGGTGTTGTGCAGAGCGTATAAAGAGTACTACTCGGCAACAATAGAGCCCAAAATTTCTGTGGCTACACAGTTGTTGTGAGTTCTCCCTCCCTTCCTTGCCACAGCTGTTATGTGAATCATTGCAATTATTAAATTAGCAATATGGTTGTTAAGTGAATTTGGCTTCCCCATTGACTGAGGTCGCAAAAGAGGATCACGTGACCCCAGGACACCGCAACCGTCATAAATACGAACCAGTTGCCAAGCAGCTGAATTTTGATCATGTGACCATGGGGATGCTGCAACGGTCATAAGTGAAAAGGTCATAAGTGTTGTAAGTCTAGTGTATTTAGTAATGATGAACTGTTGTAAGTCTAGTGTATTTAGTAATGATATACCGGTAGCTAGGCAAGGTTAGACTATGAAGCAGGATGAGACTTTGAGGAACATGTTCCCGCTAACACTTGAAATACAATCTACACCCTTATTTTGCAGGAAGGCGATGCCTTGAAGGGAAGGATCTACAAGGTTGACAAGGACTCGGAAGCCAGCATGAGGAGGATCAATTGGATCCACAACATAT